GACTCCCTGAACCAGCCTGTCAGGAGCAGAGGGCCCAGACCTGCACTCTGCAAAGCCTGTATAGCTCAGCTCGAGGGTGTCTGCTGGCGAGATAGAATGTAGGTGGTCATGGCAGAGGCCCTGTGGGGAGCACTGACCACAGTTGGCCATTGAAGCTGAGGGCTACAGATGGTTCTCAGCAGCAGTGGACACCGACTCTGGACTGGGCTTTGTTTGCCTGATTGTGGGTATAATAGTCGGGGTGCTATAAATGGTACCAAGAAGATGGTACACAAATTTGGATGGCTGAGTATCTTCTTCAGGCCATGGACATACTATGAAGTCCCTTTTCTCTGATAACAGCAGAGACCCTCCTCGGAGTAACAGTCAGAGAGAAGTGGGACAGGTAACTGCAGCACCAGCTGTTTGAAGCAGGAGGCACTGGCTCACACCATTCACTCATGTGCTGAGTGTGAGTGGGGCCAGAGCAGCACGGTCACAAACAGTCCCAGTTTCTTGGTGGATCTGTGAACAAGGATTGGGAGCCTGCTGGCTTAATGATCATACTTTTTCCTTCCCTTTATTGCCTCAGTTTCTGCTACCTGAAGTGGAAGCCACAGGACCAAGGGCTGCAAAAGTACTGGGAGCAGGGATGATTTCTAACTAAGCTAGAGATTGTTTTAAAGCCTTATGTCAGGGGGCTGGGGATTTAGCTCAGCGGCACAGCGCCTGCCTGGCAAGCGTGAGGTTGTGAGTTCGATTCCTGGTACCAGAAAAAAAAAAAAAAAAAAGCCTTATGTCAGAATTCCTAAGGACTTGATGGCCATGGTTTGGGTTTCACCTCATCGAGCAATATTGAGGATAACAGTGAGTACAGGATCTTCCCTGGTGGCACAGGCAGCTCACAGCTCTGCACCCATGTCACTTTACCTATCTGCGTGGGAGTGGACTGAAGGAGGCACCTAGAACCTGGACAAGCACCACAGCCCATCCCAATGTCCCAAAAGTGGGGAAGTTTGGGTACAAGCAAGAGAAAAGAATAGTAGCTGAGATAAAGGAATGAACACACAGGCTATGTAGAGGTAACAGTACCTCCCATACTACATTAGAACCTTAAAACAGACTCAAACAAGAGGGGACTTTGTCTGTTAGCTCAATTAACTGAATGCCTCGGGAGTGAGGCCAGGTGTCTGGAGGTGGGATGAAGGACAAAGATGTATTTCACAACATCACAGCCCCAGTAAAGACTGAGTCAGTGTCCTCTTCCAATTTCCTGGTCCCCAATGAGGTAGTACTAGGAGATGGGCCTGAGGTGATTAGGGTTAGATCGGCCAGGACAGTGGGCCCCACAGTGGGCTGGTGCCCTTATGAGAAGAGACCACCAGAGCTTCCTCTTCTTCTCCTCCACGTGTGGACAAGCAAGAGGGTGGAAGGTGCAAGCCTAAAGGACAGCCTGTACCAGGGGCCTGACCTGAAGCACCCTGGCTTGGACTTGCAGCCTCCAGGACTATGAGAAGCAAGTGTCTGTTGCTCAAGCCCCTGCCTGTATTATTTTGCTATAGTAGCCCAAACTAAGACAGAAAACATGCAAACGCGCTACTACTGTGGAATCTGAAAGGCCTGTAAGTAGCCCAGATTTATTTCTAAACCTTGAACTCAAGCAATGAAATGAAAAAATTGATAAAAGCTTTGGAGGGGTTCCTGGCAAAGCTGTTGTGTACTTACAGCTCCTGACCTATTTATTAAAAGGCAAATCACAACCGAATTCTTAGTCATAAAGACTCCCTCACAGCCAGTGTTCAGCACAAATGGCGCAGCTACCCTGCCCTGTGCTCTCCAAAGACTGTGGGATGCGCCTGCTCGGCTGGAAAGGTCTAGTAGCAAGAGACTTAAAGAGACATAGTTTACCCTTTTTTTTCTTTTTAAAGAAAGCAAGAAGGCATAAAAAGTTAATAAATCAACCATTTCATATGGTTCAAATGCAAATTTTTCAGAATAGCCTGAGCAGGGCCATCTCCTTGGCTGGAGGTAACCAGCCTTTCTAGGCGGTCAACACTAGAGGTTTAATCAGCTGTCACTGCCCTCCCACCTCCTGCTCCCCACGTTATAGTCTCCTCCCTGAAACTCTGAGTGACCTCCAGTCTCCCACTCACAGGGGCTGCAGCTCACTTCTGATCAGGGGCGTGCTGTGGGGACTTGGGCCCTGGTGCTGAGCCATAAGAAAGGAGGGGAATCAGGGTTTCTTTGGCAGCTTAGAGCCTGTGTACAGCACAAGAGAAATTCTGTGTCAGCGACCTAGACTGGTAAACAAATGCATGGCCCCATAGATGCTGCTTCTCCTAGAACCACCCGAAGGGGAAGGCGGGGGGTTTACTGCCGTTGGCCCACAACCACAGCTCCAATGACATGCAGAAGTGGGAACACAGACAGCCTGGGAGCGAGGCTCCATTTGCTGCTTGCTGAGGCTGACTAACCTGCTGTCAGGTAGGAGGAGCTGGGACAGGCTGACACCGCATCCCTTTGAACTTTTAGACCAATAGCACATATGGTTAACCAGAGTTAGCTGAACTCTAAGCTTGCTTTCAAATCTAACATACAATTTACAGAATGGTTTTCTGTGGATACTAATTTTCATGGCCTTTTCTGATTATAAGAAATATGTTTTCAGCACAACTAAAAATAATTAAGAGCCAGGTATGGCTGTGTGTGCCTATAGTCCCAGCTACCTGGAAGTAGATTCAGGAGGATTACTTGAACCCAGGAGTTTGAGGGTCCACCTGGGTAGCAGAGACCCGTCTTAAAAAAAAAAAATTAGAAAGTGCTTATATTTGCAATTGTAAAAACACATGAAACAATAATAACAAAAAAAGGATAGCTGACTGGCTCAGTGAATACATTTACATGAGGTTTTAAGTTTCTGTGCATTGGGTATATATACAATTTTTCTTCCTAAACAGAAATACAATATGGATATCTTCTGATTCTGACCCTACTTTCTCCCTTACTGTACCAGGGACTTTTGCCTATGTCACAAATCAAGGTCTCTCAGCTTTTCTAATCCACCCCGAAGTCAGTACTCTATTTTACTCAACCTATTCCTACTGGTGAATATTTAGGCTATTTCCTTTCTGTTTTGTTTTTGCCTTTATGAGCAATACCATGAAAGTTTGTATATTTATCTAGTTATACTCCCTTTGAAATTTTTGCTATTGTGAATTACAGTAATATAGGAAATGCTCATGAGACATAAATGTAAGCCAAATTAAACTTCTCCTCCTTAGACTGCAACCACGAAGGTCAAGAAGCTGGCCGTGACCAGCACCCCAGGAGTACCCTCATAAAAATGCTCACTCATGGTTGGGTGTAGCTCAGTGGCGAAGTGCCTGCCTAGCGCATGTGAGGTCCTGGGTTCCATCCCCAGGATTGCAAAACATAAACCAAAAAGCGCTCACTCCATCTTCTAGAAGTGACTATCGTCTTGATGCTGGCACTTCTTCACTTTTCCTTATAGTTTTTATTATGTATGTATGTATTCCCAGTGTTGTGCTTTTAATGTAACTGTGCATTTTTTTTCATGTCTGATGTCTTGGTTTAGCACTCAGACATCATTTGCGGAACTCACAACACTGCTGATGAGCTCTGCTCATGTGCACTGCCATACTCAGGAATAAAAACCGATTTATTTGCCCACTTCACTGCTGAGGAACACGTGGACTGTTCCCGATACTGAGTGACTTTGCTATGAACGCTAACACACCATGCTTTTGTGCATACACACCTGGGGGGAGTGCTGAGCCATGGAGAACACACATTTTCACTTTGGTCATAATATCCATCTGTTTTTCAGAGTGGGCCCATCAGGCTACACAGCCACTGGCACTGGGTGTCCATGAGCTCCTCTCACTCCACATCTTTGTACTTCTTGGAGTTAGCAATGCTGTAAAACTCATGGGTATATAATGATACAAATTCTTCTTAAGTACCTGGTTCCATTTTCTGTTGAACTTCCTGCTTCTTGTAGATTTGTGGGAGCTCCTAAAATTACCTGGGTGCTTATGCCTCAGAGGCTGCTACTGATGCAAACTTCCCTCTCCTCAGCTAGTAGTGGCTTTAAGGGCTCACAAGTTCTCGATGGATGGTACTTAAATGATTACCCTTCTATTGGATGTGCACTTTTAGTCCCTGAAAAAATCCTTTCTTCTACCACATCATGAATATTCTTCAGTGTTACTTCCTAAAGGTAGTTCTGCTTTTCATATTTAGTCTCTGATCCCCTTGAAGTTGGGTAGGTATGTGGGGTCGTTTCAGCGCTCTCTATGTGGTTGTCACACTGCTTCACTTCCCTTATTCTGAACCCATACCCCACTGCACTGTTATTAAAGCCTTTTAAAAAATAAATTTTAATATCCGATCAAGAAGAGATTTGCAAACTTTTTTGGTAAGGAACCAGTGGGTAATTATTTTAGGTTCTTCAGGCCACAAGTAGTTGCCTCTCACTGTATTTTTCCAATGGAAAAAAAAAAAAAAGGAAGAGCAAAAGAAACTAAGTCACAAAACATTTAGTACACAGGCCATAGTTTGCTGACCTCTGTGACAAGGCAGGCCCTTCCACTTTACTATTCTTAAAAAATAATGTGACATCATTGGGCCTTGGGGAATGTAAATCAAAACCACAATGAGAAAAAGAAAACAAAATGGGAGACTCACACTTATGGATTTCAAGTCTTAAGTATTCTACTATGAGTATCATAGTAGAATGGCACTGCATCAGGATGGATGGACTGACCAGGGGGATAGAACTCAAAGCCCAGAAACAAACCCACACACCTACAAGGTGGGGTAAAAAAATATGGCTAGTGTTTAAATTTTAAAAATTGTTACAGTTAAAAACATATTGCCATGAGTCCTCCTCAAAATACTATCCTTTGCTTTGAACACACTTATCCTATCATTGTTGCCCCTTTCTGAAGCAGTTCTAGAATCCTGTTTTGTGAGTGTCTTTGGTTGCACTGTCATGGCTGCCTCAATGTTCTGAATTGGTTCAAAACGTTTCTCTTTCCAATCATTTCGGGAAAAGTCGGAAGTCACAGATGCCAGACCCAGTGGGTTAGGTGGACGAGGACATACCATGTTCTTATGAGCTTGCCTTTCTGTTGGGTGGCACTCAGCAGCAGTATTTCCTGCACGTTTGATCATGCCTCCTAAAGACACTCAGAAGCTGCTTCAGAAAGGGCAAGAATGATGCAGTAAGTGTGTTCAGATCTAGGGGGAGTATTCTGAGGGGAATTCATGGCAATGTGACTTTTACTGTAATACATTTTAAAAATTTAAATGTTCACTGTACATTTCGATCACACTGCATGTGGCCATTTTTTTTGCCAAAGGACCCAAGACCCTTCAATGGGCAAGGAACAGAGGTCAAGAAATTATGCTGGAACAACTCATTGTTCACATGGAAAAGAATGGATGTGGACCCTACCTCACTCTAATACAAAATGCATCAACATTCTAAATATAAAGTAATAATCTAAATCTAAGAAGAAAACATAGGAATAAATTTTCGTGTCTTCAGACTTGACAATGAATTCTTAAATTTGACACCAAAAGTAGGAACAACATGAGAAAATAAAGTAGTTATCATTCTTTCTCAGGTTTCAAACCTTTTGTCCACACTTTCCTCTGGCCTGAAGTTTTCTTACGATTCCTTTAGTGAGGATTTGGTACTGGTCACCTCTCTCCGACCTGGTGTGAAAGTGTCTGGTCTCTGCTCTCATGTTATACAACTCTAGAGTGATTGTGAAGCTGTCTCACAGACACCATCTCAAGGTGTCATTACGCTCTGATTTCTGTGCAGCTTCGGGGAAGAAAACAGTCAAACTCTTACTCCTTGAAAGTCCATAAAGTCCACCTCTACCTTTTTCTATAACTGCTTTTAAGATTTTTAAAACACCACTTTCAACAGTGTCCAGTTTTCCTCACAGATATTTTCTAACTTTTATTTCTTTAAACACATTAAGTCTTGGAAGTTGAGGCAGGAGCAGTGCAAACCTGGGCAATTTAGGGACTCAGCGAGGCCTTGTCTCAAAATTAAGAGGAAAAAAGCACATTCAGCACAGCTGTGTCTCACAGGCCCTCTCCCTGAGGGCTGCACACAGTTCCGCTCTGTCCTTCGAACACTGGCACTGCCTAGTTTCCTTGTGAGTGTGGCCATCCCTGCGATATAAGCCAGCCCTTAAAAACATCTGTGGGGAATCTTGCAGGTTTGGAATTCAAGGGTTGTTTTTTTTAGAGAGGGTTTCTATTTGCCTCTCCCAGGTGTGTTGCATATTACCTGCTTGGTGTCACCTTAAATCTGCAGCACATGGGTTGGCATGCACTATTCTGGTGTGTATCTGTGTGACAAGTCCCTGGATCAGCCAGCCTGTGGTGGCTTTTATTTCGTCCTCTTACACTGGGTCTCTATTTTGTGAGTTCACTTTTGGCTCATCCTTGCCCTCTGTGGTCTCAGCCCATTATAAGGGGGTCTCTGGCCCAATCCCCCAATTATGACAATCTTAAATTTCCATCCCCTTTTGAGATTCCCCCAAAGATTATCAAAAACTAGAGCTCAGGTTCAGAGTTTTGATGACAACAGCTGCCAGGGCTCCACTGACTCTCAGGGCTTTCACCCCTTATAATCCTGCTGGCACTTAGAGGCTTTTGTAAAGTTATTTTTAACATTTTATCTAGCATTTTATGTTATTTTCAGCAGGTCTTTGGATAACTACTTCACTATAGCTAGAAGCTGGAAATGTTACAATTACTGCTTTAGGATAAAATCCTTGAAGGGTGAATTACTGTCAGGGAAGAGAACATGCTATGTTTTGACCCAAAATGGGAACCTTCAGCACTTTATATTAGCACTTATGTAGGATGGTACCTATCTCCTGCTGGTCAATCTGCCTGGAGTACTATTCTCTAAAATTACTACCAATCTAACCAACAAAAAACGTTACACTGTGATCACTTTAATTTGTATTTCCATGATTAGGAGTTAGGTTAGTGGTCTTTGTTTCTTTTTTCACTCAGTTTTCTATGGAGGATTAATCCCTCCTTTACTGCTTCATAAGAGCTTGCTCAGCTGGGTGTGGTGTTGCATATTTGTAATCCCAGCACTCTCAGGATGACTGCAAATTTGAGTTCTGCACAGGCAATTTGGCAAGATCCTGTCTCAAAAAAAAAAAAAGAACTAGGGATGTAGCTCAGTGATAGAGCACTCCTGGGTTTGAACATTAGTCTAGGAAAAAGAAAAAAAAAAAAGAGAAAAGAGAGAGTTTGCTCATTCCTGTGGTTGTTTTACATGCTTGCTTTCTTTTTCCTTCTTTTTTTTTGTACCGGCAATCAAACTCAGGACTTTGTGCTTGCTAGGCAGGTGCTGTGCTGCTGAGCTATATTATCATCAGCTCTCATGCTTTCTTAAAATGAAAAGAAACACTTCCTTTCTATATTGCAATTTTCCACCTAATTTGTCATTTGTAATTTTCTTCATGCTGACTTTTGACAAAAATTACAAATGTTCATAGAATCAAACCCATTATTCTTTTCTTTTAGGTTTTTGGTCTTGTTATCACAAGAGTATTCTCAACACATCACACTACCACCGCAGGGCCACTGTGTCACAGGCTGGTAACCCTCCAGAGGTATAGCCGTGAAGCAATGTGTTCCACAGGACCTGGGTTTCTAAAGGCTATCATGTACACATTTCGGTGTTAATGAAGTAAGGGGATAGGCCAACACTGGCAGAGACACAGTCATCCCAGCACAGGAAGTGCTCCCAGAGGGACTCCTGTCTGCTCCCAGGTAGAGCTCGGCCAGCACAGTCCTTCTCAGTTGCCCAAGTCTCCCACTCTCATCTGAGACAGGCCATGTTTTTGTCACATCAGGAAAATTTCCTCTCAGGCCTCCAATGGTTTCCTATCAGACACAGGATGGGTTTGGTTAGCTTTTTAAGTCCTTCTGAATTGAACACTACATTTCTACTATGAGTCACACCAAGAAAGTTAATTTAATTGGATGTTCAAAGCTGTCACATATATACACAGTACCAAACTTAAACTCAGATAGTAATTTCAGATCTGTAGTTCCAGTGCATCATGAATCTTTCACAATGTGGACCTGCTGGGGATCTGTCACCTCTCACCTGTCTACTCCCAAGGCTCTGTCTCATCCCAGCCTCTCCGCACTCTGGGACATAGGACACTGATGCCTTCAGGCCTTTGCATGTGCAAAGTGTACCTCACTCGAACATACATCTCCCTTCACCCAGACACCCCCTTTGGAGCTTTCCAGAAAGTGACTTGGTTAGGACTATAAGCCAAACAAGGTGGGCTAGGGTGCCCTGCCACACACTGGGTGCTGCTTCCACTTGTAATTTTTACAGACCACCCAGACCCTTGACACTAGGTAGCCATTAGGAAGTAGGAGACAGGATGGGGTGAACTCCATTCATTTTAAGGGTAAGACCCAACACTTAGTCTCATGGCTATTCCAAACTGTAGAAAAAACAGAAAGTGTTACCTGGATTTATGGCCATATTCTCAACTTGATTATCATAAAAGAAGAGAAAACAGGGGGCTGGGGATTTAGCTCAGCGGCAAAAGCGCCTGCCTGGCAAGCGCAACGTCGTGAGTTCGGTTCCCGGTACCGGAGAAAAACCAAAAAAAAAAACAAAAAAAAAACATTTAATTCAACAAATAT